TATTATAATAACATGATCAGAACATTTATAGTAAATGGAAACGTAACAGACAAGAAAAAAAAACGTATGCAAAACTAATCTATTGAATATACTTAAATAGATTCCATATATTTTTATTTCATTCAAGCATTAATAATAAAAATTATATCAATATATATAACAAGAAACAAAAAAACGTATCTCAAACTCGGTCAACTTCTTAACATCTGCGTTGTTTCTGTAAAAAAAAGAAAAATAGCACCAAGTTATACAGTAATATAGTAACAATAACAAACTTTAATACTACTAAAAATAATTGTTAATAAACTAATGTTACAGTAATTTAAATGACAAATTGGACGTTTTTTCCTGATACAATGTAAATAAATAAAAATAATAATATTTAATAATTATAATAATATATAACATCATCATATTTTAGTATTTATTTTATTTGCTGTATTTGTTATGTAGTAGAAAGTGTAGGATTCATAACAAAACGGAAATAAAAACCGTCCGATATATTAATTAATAGTTTAGTTATAATAGTATTAATTTTATTTGCTTTTAAGTATAGCCTGTTGTTACTTATTAGAAAACAACAAAACACAAATAAAAAAAGTATGATAAACCGATTGACGAACTTGCAATGATAATTAGGCCTAGTTATATTAAATTCAGCGTTTTGCAACTCCATTGGCACTCCATTTATTTGTTGAAAATTGAAACCGCGACCGAAATGAAGCGCAACCGAAACAAAGCGCGACCGAAACGAAGCGCGACTGAAATTATCTGTAATCACACGTACGCGTTTACAATTTCCAGTTTCTTATTGGCCAGTGATTTGATCATCATATTGGCTATGTTCTCACACGGCAGCTAACGGTTAAGCAGGATCCGGATCCTGCTAACCGTTAGCTGCCGTGCGTCCATGCGAGAAAATCCCGATCCGGATACCAACAATATGATGATCAAATCACTGGCCAATAACAAACTGGAAATTGTATTGTGATTGGTTGATGATAGAAACGCCCTCAACTTGCTAACCGATAGCGCTTGCTAACTGTTAGCGGTATCCGGTTACCGCTAACGGTTAGCGCTAACCGATCGGGCGTTCTCGCGCAGGTGCTAACGGTTAGCTCCCGATCCGGATACTAGGGCTCTCGTGAGAACCAGGCTTACACAGTATTAAGTTTTATAAAATCAGCGTAATCTTGACGTTGACGCAGGGTTCCCGGAACGCCGCACAGTGGGCCAGAATTGTTTCAAAGTGTGCCAAAAGTCAATACTCATAAGAAAATACTGATTATGTTCATGTTAAGACTGTTTAAGGGGTTTTCAAACCTGCTGAATTCAATTAAACTATTTTTAAATATGTATGACATCATCAAATTACTGTTTTTTGATTGGATGAGTAAAATATTCATTGCAATACCAAGGCAGATTCATATTACCTTGGTTATTAGAACATATAAGGGGTTTTCTAACCTGTAGATTTCAACGCAAGCATATTTAAATATGTATGACGTCATTAAAGTATTTTTTTTATTGGACGACGTAAATTTTAAGGTCTAGACAGAATAACTTGCCAGAGCTCAGTATGACACGAATAAGGGTTTCTAGACCGGCAAATTCAAATTAGAACTGTACTGGCCCGACAATAAAAGACAATATTGAAATCCAGTCGTATAACCGTGTTCACTTTTCATTCGTTGAACATTTATTGGTAACTGCAAAAACAACAAGCAATAGATGCTAATAAGACATAACCCAAAATTAGTACAAGATGTATAAAATGCAGTACACCACAAATCAATAACTGTCTCTTATACACATCTAGATGTGTATAAGAGACAGTACATAAACTGTGCTGTCCTCTCAAGACGTATCCAAGATTACTGGCTATATCCAAGATCACTGGCTATCCAGCTGCAAATAATTCAATAATCAAAGTCATGGATGGTACAGAAATTATCTCTAAAATATAATCACATAGCTGGGTGCACAAAATAGCCATTACCCTTTATAAATATTATAAAAACAAAGCTAGGCTAACACAATCTGAAAATTTACTGCCGTAGGTCAAAGGTCACATCTTTGATCACACAGCGTGCGGGCTACTACATACACGTTCATGCATAGTGTATCAAAAACTAGGCTAGACATGCTCATATAGAATCGTGCCATAATACAGTACGCACAAATATCAATAATCAATACTAAGCTAGAGTACAGCATTATCTCCAGCACATAATAATAAAACCTATGCAAGTTTTAAACTAACAATTTAACGATATTTACCTCAGAACATAAGGTACCATTTTACACCATGTGACATTATTAAAATACATTTCTTCAAAGAAAAGGGTGCTCCTGCATTTGGCGGGAGACTCCCGCTTTTCGCCCTAACCTCCAGCTCTCCCGCCACTAGCCTAAAATCTCCAGCTTTTCTAATAATCTCAAGATTTTTTTTATTAAAACCCACAATTTAATACAAAAATATCCAAAACGTGACAATTCTGTAGTTTTATAAGGCATATAAAATCT